ATTAAATGTACAGAATTAACAAACGCAAAATTAAAATACAATAAAGTCTCTTAATTTTTCCTTTTTCGTACTGGTCTCTGTCTCATTGGCTTCTGCTTCACGTGGGGTTCATCTGCTCCATCAGGAAATGTCCCATTATCGGTAGCAGTCACATCAGTGGTAGTAACTTCATCGACGGCTTCACTGTTTTCCTTCTCAAAACCGGGTAGAGTTTCTTCTTCGACAGTGGCTTTTTCAGGTGACATTTCTTTAGCAGCATCATTTGTTTCATTGTTCACTTCATTCCAACTGAAATGTCCTGATAATGCCAAAGCCTGTTGGCATGCACCACCTTTGGGTTACCTAGCCGACCACATTTTATTCGGAAAGTCACATCTGAGAGGCAATCCACAATGTCATATGGGCCTTCCCATGGAGAAGACAACTTAGGAGACTTCCCCTTTGGTCTTCCTGGGATTATACAACCACACCTTGTCTCCTGGTACAAAGCTGACTTCAGTAGATCTCTTATCTGGAATCAGTAGACGTTTTCAAGTTTGAACGCACTTGATGATGAATATCATCCATCCTTTCAGATAACACTTTCACGAACTCTGACACATTTTCAGGCAACTCTTCATAAGGTGGGCATCCTGTTATCAGGTCCACTGGCAACCAAAGTTCCCAACCAAACATCAGCTTTGCTAGAGTGTATCCAGTGGCTTCATGCTCTGCTGTTCTATAGGCCATCAACAGTGGAGGGAGTAAGACATCCCAGTCATTTTGGCGGCTATTACAAAACTTTGCCAATTCCTGTCCCAGTGTCCAAATGTACTTTTCTACCATCCCATCAGACTGTGGATGAAGTGGCGTTGTCCTGGTCTTTCGTATGCCAAACAACTTGCAGCATTCATGAAACACAGCTGATTGAAAGTTACGGCCTTGATCCGAATGCAGTTCGTATGGCATACCAAATCTGAAGAAGAAATCACCAATAGCTGAAGCTACAGTTGTAGCTTCCTGCATATTGCATATGCCTCAGGGCACTTGGTGAAATAATCCATCACCACACAAATGTACCTGTTTCCAGCACGAGTTTGAGGCAAAGGACCAGCAATGTCAATGGCTACTCTTTCCATTGGTGTGCCAACTTGATATAACTTCATTGGAGCACGTCCCTTATGCTTGCGTCCCCTTTTAGCACAACATTTACTGCAGGTCCTGCACAATTCTTCCACATCTTGCCTCATACCTATCCAGTAAAATCTCTGTCGTAGGTGACTCAATGTCTTCTTAACTCCAAGATGTCCTCCTGTTAAACTATCATGAAATTGACGCAGCACAACTTCCCATAACTTTCTCAGTATAACCGTATGCCAGGTCGTCACTTTCCCATCTGCAGTTTCTCATCTCCGAACAAGAATACCATCTTCAAGCTCAACTGGTCCCATTGTGCCCACTAGTTCATTGTCACGAGGCTTAAGCTAGACACCTTCTCCCAAGCATGGCGCAAAACACTTGCTTGTGGAAAATCAATTATTGGCTTCAAATCTTGGTCTTTCTCCTGTTCTGCTTTAATATCTATACTTGGTTCCACTTCACAATCATCAACCCCCTCAGTCACTTTGACTTCAGCATGATGGCACATGGTTAGTCCAAAATCTCTTTAACACTTACTGGAATTTGGCCTTTGTTGTTCCCAAATATCATTTTATCAAAGTTAACTACACACTTCCTCGATAGTAAGTAGTTCAACCCTAATATGTATTGGTCTTCAATGTCAGCCAAGTATACTTTGCGTCTGTCCTTTATGCCCAGGAGCT